CCTGCCACGGCCATGGCTGACACACGGCACGCACGCTTCTGACGTCACCGCCGTGCGACGCGCGGTGGCGCCGCCTGGCGGCAAAAGGGTATAAAGTGGGCGGCCGTGCCTATATACGTCACACAGCTGGGGGCGGGGTTACAGTGAGGGGCATGACTGGGTGGGCGTGTCCAGTGCTACGGTCCGTCACTAGGGGCGTGGCTTCAGTGGGGGCGCGGCCTTGCGTCATGGGCGTGACCATTGAGCAATTCTCCACCGGAGGGGAGTGGCTTTGTTTTGGGGGCGTGGCTAGAGGCGCGGGAGGGTCGGCGCGTGCGCACGGCGGCGCTGTCCCCCCGGCGGCGGGCCGATGACGTCACGGGAAGGCGCCGCCCAAGATGGCGGCGGGGCAGCAGGGCGGGCGCTGAGGCGGCGGCGGGGCCGGAGCGGGAGCGGGGCTGGGATCGGGAACGGGGGCGGGCAGCGGGGCTGGAGCGGGACCCGGGCGGGCCATGGCTGCCGCCGCCGCCGCCGCGCGCTGAGGCCCCGCCGCGCAGCCAGGCCGTGATGCCCCGGGGGGGGCCCGGGCCGCCGCCGGAGCCATGGAGGAGGAGGGCAAGAAGGGCAAGAAGGTGAGAGCGGCGGCACCGCGGGGCCCTTCCGGTGGTCGCTCAGCCCCGGCTCGGGTCGCTCCCGAAGGCGGGACCTGCAGGACCCCCGGCCCGGATCCCCCTTCTCGGGGGCGTGCCCGGACCCCGCCCCCCAAAAAAAGAATCCCCCCGCTGTGAACGGGGGTGTTGAGGAGATCGGTCATTAGTGGGGTTATTATTTATCAAGCTCTTAACCTATGGCTTTGTTAACTCACTTAAATCAGCTCTTCACGTGCATTAATCTCATTTCCACACCCGTTCATTTATACCTTCATACCTTTGTACTTTCTCGTGTCTCTGGGTCTCAGCCGCTCCCCCCGTTGCCACCTTGCCCTAATTTCCCTCATTTCAGCCCATTTCTGGGTCCTGGGGGGGAGGTTCACCCGGAGCTGCTTCCCGATCCCAGAGCGGGGGGGGTTGATCCCGTAATTTTGGGGAGGAATCAGGTGTTTGAGGGTGTTCAGCAGGTTCCCCCTGAGCCTCTGCCTGGGGGCTGAGCCAGACATCCCCGGAGTGAGGGAACAGGGATGGATTTCTTGGGGAATTGCCATCCAGGCTTCCCACGGAGCCAGACCTGGGAATTCAACCCCCCTGGAGTCACCTGGTGCCGTGGGGGGAGGAATTGCCCTCCTGGGGATGGGATGTGCCTGCCCTTGGGAAGTTCTGGGCTCCCAGTGCTCCAGGTGGTGTGGGGTGAGCCCAGGTGTGGGTCCCACCTCTTCCCTGGGCCAGCCCAGGTTGGTCCCTGGCGCTGGGAAGGGTCTGGATCCTCCCCTCGGGTGCTTGGACATGTTTAGCTGATCCCTCCCCCCCTCTCCATCCCACCTGATGATCCCTCCTGTCCTTCCTCCGATCCCTCAGTCCTCCTCACAGCCCCTTCCCAGGGCTGATCCCACATTTCCCAGTCCCTTCCTGTCCTGGTGAGCTCCCTGAGCCCCTGCAGAGCTGTGGCAGCTCCTGGGCTGATCCCTGGGCCTCTGGAGCTCCCTTGGAGCCAGTTTTCCATGGATTTGGTGGTGGATCACCATTAACCCCGGCTTATGCAGCTGTGGAGTCAGGGGATCCGTCCCTGTGTGCAGCTGCTGTTCCAGCTGCAGGGAGAACTCTTCTCCAGGTTTTTTTCCACCCTGTGGATCATTCCAGCAGCGTTCTGGGATGAGGTGAGGGCTCTGAGTGCCTCAGTGCTGATCCCAAGGGATGAGCAGGGCAAGTTTGGGATGAGCAGGAAAGTCCCAGCCTGGCTTTGGGTAAAGCCTGAGCTGGTTTGAACTGGGGGCCTGGGATTCCTGGCAGGAGATGGCATTCCCAGGATCCCACTGGTGGCTGTCCCAGCAGGAATGAGCAGTTTCCTGGGCAGGTTTGGGATGAACTCAGGAGGATTTTCCTGCTGGTCTGACTCCAGAATCCATCCAGTGGCTGCAGCTGATCCAGGGCTTGCATGGGGGCCCTTGAGGAATTCTCTGGTAGTGTGAAATTCCCAACTTTTCCAGCTTGGGAATGCCCTGGATGGATCCAGCCCCGTGCCCTGGGCTGATCCCCCAGCAGGGCAGGGGGGATTCTGCCCCTCTGCCCCCCCCAGCTGAGACCCCCCTGCAGAGCTGCCCCAGCCCTGGGAACAGCAGCAGGAGGACGTGGAGCTGCTGCAGAGAGTCCAGAGGAGGCCCCGGAGCTGCTCCCAGGGCTGGATCCCTCTGCTCTGGAGTTTGGGGGGCCAGTAAAGTGGATTTGGGAGTGTCTGTGCTGTGGCTGCTGGGGGAGCAAAGAGCTGCCCCTGGTTACTGGGAGATCAGGAATTGGGGTCATGGATAAACTTCCACTCTCCCAGATTGCTCCAAGCCCCGTCCAACCTGGCCTTGGACACTTCCAGGGATCCAGGGGCAGCCACAGCTTCTCTGCCCAACCTGTACCAGGGCCTGCCCACCCTCCCAGTCAGGAATTCCTTCCCAATATCCCATCTCTCCCTGCCCTCTGGCAGTGGAAGCCATTCCCTGTGTCCTGTCCCTCCATGCCTTGTCCCCAGTCCCTCTCCAGCTCTCCTGGAGCCCCTTTAGGCCCTGCCAGGGGCTCTCAGGTCTCCCTGGATCCTTCTCTTCTCCAGGGGAACCCCCCCAGCTGTCCCAGCCTGGCTCCAGAGCAGAGGGATCCTGCCCTGGGAGCAGCTCTGGGGTCTCCTCTGGACTCTCTGCAGCAGCTCCTGTGGGAATGACTCCTGGCTCCCAGCTCCTGTGGGAATGACTCCTGGCTCCCAGCTCCTGTGGGAATGACTCCTGGCTCCCATTCCCAGGGTGGCCCCATCCTCCTCAAACTGGCCCTCAGGTCCTTGGGTGCTGCTTCTCCAGCCACCTCCTTCTTCAGGGGGTTGTAGCCTTATTCCAGCTTTGCTTTCCAAGTGTGAAACCTAAAACTCAGAATAGAATCATGGAATGATGGAATAGTTTGGGTTGGAGGGATCTTCAGGATCATCCCGTTCCACCCCTTGCCCACCTTCCACCAGCCCAGGTTGCTCCAAGCCCTGTCCACCCTGTCCTTTAGGGATGGGGCAGGAAGAAGCCTTCCAGGCCATTGACTCAGTGGATCATGGGATCATTAGGGTTGGAAAAGCCTCTGGCATCATCAGCTCTAACCTCTGGTGTCCAACCAGGAGCTGGAGACAATCCAGCTCGGAACCCTGAGGAGAACCCGGGGCTCAGCCTGCCGTGGGAGGGGGGTATCTCCATCCTGCGTGTGGCAGCAGCAAAGCACCGAGGATTTGGGGTGTTCCCGGGCAGTTTGGGGTGCAGGAGGCGGGAGGGAAGGTGGGAATGGGCTCGTGCTGCAGCCCCAGCACCAGTTCCCACCCACAGCCCGACCTGTCACGTGGGAGGGAGGAAGCTGTGGCCGGGGCACTTCCTGGCCCTGAGCTCCTCCATTGCAGCCCTGGCTCCCCCAAAACCAGGGGAACAGCCCCCCTTTCCCCCAGAGGCCTCCCATCTCCCCCTGGCACAGCTCTGTGCCGTGCTCCCCGGGAATTCCATGGAGGACGAGGTGGGTGCCGGGGTCGGGGAGCCCCAAAAGCAGAAACGGTTTCAGAGCTGCGTCACGGCGGGAGGTGTCTCCACCTGGGATTTGGGATCCCCAGATCCCCTCCCCAGGGGGCCTGGGGGCTTGGAATCATCCAGGACAGCCACATGCCGAGGGAAAAGGGGGGTTTTGTGGATTGGGGTGGATCTGGAGCCAACTGGTGAAAGGGGAGTGTGTGGGTACAGCCTCCATCCCGATGGGGGATTCCTGCGTCACTCTGCTTTGAATTCCCAAAGGATTCCTGGGGAGTTAGATCCTTGGGTGTAGGCACTGAGATTTGGGATGGGACACCCTGGGGTTGGAGGGTCCTCTCTTCATGGCAAACAGAACCTGTTGAGTCCAGGATTTCCTTCCCTCTGGAGTCCCAGTCCCTTTGCAGGGTTATGGAGTCACAGAATCATGGAATATCCTGATCAGGAATCATGGATTCCTTCTCCTGGATGCTTCCCAAAAATCCACACTGCTGCTCTCAAGGCAGGGGCTGTGGAGTTGTTTCCTTCCCTTTTGTCCTATAAAATCCCTTTATTTTTATCTCCCTGATCCAAGGGATGTTTTTCCAGGCCGCGCTGTCCCCGATGTCCTTGTGGCTGGTAATTCCCATTCTCCCAGGAGCAATTCCTTGGTTTAGATTTAATTAATTCACCCTTGGAAGCACCTTCTCTGCCCCTGCAGCTCCCACATTCCTTTCTCTTGGCTATGGGGATCAGGAAAGCCGGGATGGGACTGTCCTGAGGGGTGGGAAGCAGAGGCCACCTGGGAATGGGGCACTGGAGTCATGTGGCTGAGGAGCTCCAAGGTCCAGCCATGGATCTGCCTGCTCCAAACATGCACTTCACCTGGTAACCCTGGGACTGGTGCAGTCTGGGGATGTTCCCAGTCGTTTATCCAGCGTGGAGCTCAGTGGGATCCTCTTGGAATTCCCGTGCCGATGCCAAAGGTGCTCCTCTCAGCCAGGAGCCCACCCGTTATCTCCAGTGGTTTTCCAAACCCAGCACTTCAGGAACCACCCAGAGCTGTGTCTCCCAGGGAAATCCACTTTCTGGCTCATCTCCTCATGGTTTTGTGTTTCCTTGGAACATTCCTGTCTGTTCCTTGGGCGTTCCCTGGTGAGTCTCCGTAGCAGAAGGTACAAAACCTTGGAGGAACCCTCTGGATATGCTCTTTACCTGGAATATGCTTGTATTCCCTTCACCTGGAAGGCTGAGGGTGGTGACCTTGGGGGGAAAAACACATTTTGGAATTGTGACTGTTCAGCGCTTGGGAGGTGTCCTAGGGAAGTGCTTTCCAGTGGAAAGCCGTGGATTTGGAGGTCCAAGCGCAGAGCGCTGGAGCAGCAGGATGGGGTTGAGGAGTTTCAGTGCCCTGGCCCCTGTCCCCCTCAGCCCGGTGCCCCCTTCCCTCCCCAGCCTGGGATCGTGTCTCCGTTCAAGCGGGTGTTCCTGAAGGGCGAGAAGGGCCGGGACAAGAAGGCCCAGGAGAAGGTGACGGAGCGGCGGCCGCTGCACACGGTGGTGGTGCCGCTGCCCGAGCGCGTGGAGCCCGACCTGCTGCTGCACGACTACATCGAGAAGGAGGTCAAGGTAACACAGCCCCTGCTCGCTGGGAATCGCTTCCCAGTGACCCCCCTGTCCACGGGAAACCATTCCCCACATCCTGTCCCTCCATGCCTTGTCCCCAGTCCCTCTCCAGCTCTCCTGGAGCCCCTTTAGGCCCTGCAAGGGGCTTTGAGGTTTCCCTGGGGCCTTCCCTTCTCTCTCACCTGTCTTCAGGTTTTCCTCGGAGCATCTCCGTGGCTCCTCTGGACTCATTCCAAGGCTGTGTCCGTGCTGTGGTAACACTTTGGCTCTTCTTTCCCAGTATTTAGGCCAGCTCACCTCCATCCCGGGATACCTGAACCCCTCCAGCCGCACGGAGATCCTGCACCTGATTGACAACGCCAAGGTGAGGGGTCACCTACCTGCTCCAGGAATCCCAGCAGGCAAAATCCACGGAGCTTCCACGGCGCTGGGCTTCGTCCAGCCGGTGTCCTCCATCCTGGTGTCCCGTGGATGGGAGGGAAAGGTGGAAACACCCCCAGGAGGGCAGTGAGGGACTGGAACGGGTTTCCCAGAGCGGCTGTGGCTGCCCCATCCCTGGAGGTGTCCGAGGCCAGGGCTGGGTGGGTGGGAGGTGTCCCTGCCCGTGGCACGGAGCTGGCCGGTCCCTGAGGTCCACCCGCCCCCAAGGGTTCCGTGGCTGAGGCTGTGCCCACCCCTGTGCTGCAGAGGGCCCACCAGCTGCCGGGCCAGCTGGGCACGGAGCACGACGCGGTGCTCAGCCTGTCAGCCTACAACGTGAAGCTGGTGTGGCGGGACGGGGAGGACCTGATCCTGCGCGTGCCCATCCACGACATCGCCGCCGTGTCCTACGTGCGCGACGACTCCGCGCACCTCGTCGTGCTCAAGACAGGTGAGCTGTGCCCCCGGCCTGGCGCTGTCCCCAGGGGGGCACAGGGACACCTGGGCTGGCAGGGCTGTCCCTGCCCGTGGCTGCGGGTGGGACCGGGGGATCCTCAAGGCCTTTCTGACACCCTGTGTGCCAGACCAGCCTGTCCCTGTGTGCTCTGGGAAGGGCTGAGCCAGGGATTTATCACATCACAAACCCCAGGCACAGGCTGGGGGATAAAGGAGAAAGTGCCTCAGGGGCTGGAATTCTGAGCTGTGGGAATGGCCAGAGATCTCCAGAGCTGTCAAAACAAACTGCAAAGTTGAGGCTTTTCATCCCCTTCTGCTCTGCCCCCCCCCCCAAGATTCCTTCCTGTCCCCTCCCCGCCCTGCCTTTCCCTCACTCCTCCTCTCCCCCCAGCTCAGGATCCCGGGATCTCTCCGAGCCAGAGCCTGTGTGCCGAGGGCTCCAAGGCGCTGACGTCGGGGTCGCTGTCAGAGAGCGCCGGGGGACCCCTGGAGTGCTGCTGCCTGGTGGTCCTGGCCACAGAGAACAAGGTACAGCTCCCACCTGTCCAGGGAAACCCGGGGAACTCCTGGAATTGCTGGGAAGTTTCTGGCTCTTGGATAGGTGCGAGGGTGGAGCCACAAACTTCACAGCAGCCACGGCCTGTGGTGTGTCCGGATCCTTCCCTGCCTCCGTGCCTTGTGGGACACACAAGCCTGGATTGAGGGATGCAGGTGTGGTTGAGCGTTGCTGGAGCACAAGGTGATACATGGAGAGGCACACAGGAGGGTCTCCAAGGATGGTTTCCTTTGGTTCCTGCTGCCCAGAGCCTCCTCCAGCAGCAGAAAATCCCTGAGGACAGCAATCCCATAATGGGATTTTGCTGATTGGGGCGTTCTCCCGGTGCTGACCTGGGAGTTTGTTTCATCCAGTGTGTGGATCCAGAGATCCTGCTCTCAGTCTCTCCAGTCTCCGCTCAGGGTGGAGTTTCACTCCCTGTGTTCCCAGGTGTGACGTTCCCTGGGCCACCTCCCCCTCTCTGGGACGCAGGTGATGAGCCAAAATCCCAGGGAGCTGCACAGAGGAGCTTTGGCACGGAATGTGGGGGCTCATCCCAGCTCCATTCCTGGGCAGGAGAGGGTTGGGATGTTCCTCTGGCAGCGCAGGAGGGTCGCGGACCCCAGTTCCTCGTGGGAGACACCACCTGTCCCCCGGAGCTGAAGGGAAAGGCCAGCGTGGGATTTCCCAAGGCTCCCTGCTCGTTCCCAGGTGGGTGCCGAGGAGCTGTGCTCCCTGCTCAGCCAAGTCTTCCAGATTGTTTACACCGAGTCCACCATCGACTTCCTGGACCGTGCCATCTTCGACGGGGCCTCGACGCCGACGCGGCACCTGTCCCTGCACAGCGGTGGGTGCTCCCAGTACCCCCACACCCCCCCTCGGGGCAGGGACAGCCCCGCTCAGCCACTGCCTGGGGTGGGAAAAGCCTTGGAGAGCCCCGAGCCCACCTGGCCCTCACCACTAACCCACGTCCCCGAGTGCCACATCCACGTGGATGTTGAATCCCTCCAGGGGTGGGGACTCCACCCCTGCCCTGGGCAGCCTGGGCACCCCTTTGCGTGATGGAATTTTCCTGGGATCCAACCCAAACCTCCTCTGGCACGACCTGAGGCTGTTTCCTCTCATCCTGTAGTTGGTTCCCGGCCTGTCCCCTGCCAGCAGTCAGGAGTCACATTGTGTCAGGAATCGTTCTGTGTCGCTCCTGGGCTGGGAAATCACCGAGTTTGTGCCTCTAATGTTCCATATCCCAAATTTTTCTCCTTCCAGATGACTCTTCCACCAAAGTGGACGTGAAGGAGCCCTTCGAGGCAGATGCCAGCACTTTGTAAGTGAGCCCTGGCCCTGGAGCCAGGATTAACCCCGGATGTGCTGCTGCTGGCACGGTGGGAAGCTCAGCCCGCCCCGCTGGGCCTCGGAGGGTGTTGGCACCGACCCTGTCCGGGCTTGGATTGTCCTGCCCTCAGCATTCCAGGGAAAGTCACGTCCACAGCGAGCAGCCCCTGTGTCAGCACAGCACGGGCTCAGTGGCTGATCAGCCCTGCTGGAGCTGGGAGAAGGGTTTTCCAAAAAAAACCCTTCATTTAGGAAACTTTTCTCTCCCGGATCACTGTAAACCTCGACAGTGTCTGTGGGATGAAATCCCAACACACAATCCGTTGGTTAACGTGCAGGGGTGCTCTTGGAATATCCACTGTTGAGGGGTGCTCTTGGAGCATCCAGCTTGGCAGGATGTTCTTGGAATGTGCAACATTGAGGGAGGCTCTTGGAATAGCCAGCATTAAGGGTTGTTCTTGGAATATCCAGTATGGAGGAATGGATGCTCTTGGAATGCTTAATGTGGAGAAATTATGAACATTATTGGAAATTCACACCTTTAGCCCCAAAATGAGGAGTTTGGGGATTTTTTCCCAGTGCCATTCCCAACGAGGAAGCAGCTGGAGGGATAATTCCCTGTGTGGGGCTCTGTTGTCATGGGGTCACCAAACCAGTGTTTGGCTCCGTGGGGTCCTCGGGGTCCCCTCAGCAGCTGGAGGCTTCCAGAATCATGGAATATCCTGGGCTGGGAGGGACCCCAAGGATCAGAGTCCAGCTCCTGGCCTTGCACAGCCCACCCCAAAACTCCCACCCCCACCCTTCCATCCCCTCCGTGCCCCAGGAGCTTCAGAGGACTCACCCTGTTGCGTGTCAGTTCCTTCCCAGACACGCTGGAGGCAGGAGACACGTCCCCGTCCTCGCTGTCCGCGCGCCCGTCCCCGCACGTCACCACGGCCAGCGAGAGCGAGCTCAGCACCACGGCCACCGAGCTGCTCCAGGACTACATGATGACGGTGGGGCCCGGGCACAGCACCCTCCTGGGATCGGGGATTGTGGCCCTGGGGGGATGTGGGGCGTGGGAGCTGCTCATCCTCCTTTCCCAGCCCTGACTGTGGGCTCATGTCATGGAATCTTGGAATGGTTTGGGGGGAAAGGGAACTTCAGGATCATCCAGTTCCACCCCTGCCACAGGCAGGGACACCCGCCACCAGCCCAGGTTGCTCCAAGGCCCATCCAGCCTGGCCTTGGACACTTCCAGGGATCCAGAGACAGCCACAGCTTCTCTGGGAAGTCCATTCCAGTCCCTCCCCACCCTCACAGCATTTCTTGCCAGTATCCCATCTAAATCTCCACTTTTCCAGCAGGAATTCATTCCCTGTGTCCTGTCCCCCCATGCCTTGTCCCCAGTCCCTCTCCAGCTCTCCTGGAGCCCCTTTAGGCCCTGCAAGGGGCTCTCAGGTCTCCCTGGATCCTTCTCTTCTCCAGGGGAACCCCCCCAGCTGTCCCAGCCTGGCTCCAGAGCAGAGGGATCCAGCCCTGGGAGCAGCTCCGGGGCCTCCTCTGGACTCTCTCCATCTCCCACAGAAACATCCCCACCTTTGTCCCCTTCCCCCTGTCCAAAGTCACCCTATCCATAAGTCCCAGCCCCAGCGACACCCAGAGCCTGTCACTGCTTTCCCATGGGGGTGAGTGGGTCCCTGGCTGTAGCCAGGGCCATTCCCAAGCCTCCCACCCCCCTCCCCCAGCTCCGGACCAAGCTGTCCTCCCAGGAGATCCAGCAGTTCGCGATGCTGCTCCACGAGTACCGGAACGGAGCCTCCATCCACGAGTTCTGCATCAACCTCAAGCAGCTCTACGGGGACAGCAGGAAATTCCTGCTCCTGGGTGAGTGCAGGAGAGCTCCAGAGGTGGGAACTGGGTGCTCAGGGACAGGCGGTGGGATGGGACCGAGGGGGAAAGGGTGTGGGCACAGGGAGGCCTTGGGGTCACCACACCAGGGGAATGTCTCAATCCAGCTCTCCTGTGGAGATTCCTCCTTCCTGAAGGCCACTGAGCCATCTGTCCCAGCTTATCCTGGTTTGAGTCCCTGCCTTAGAGCTGTTCCCTGTTCTCTTCTGGCTGTGGAGCACTGGGGAACCTCCTCCCAACCTGGCAATCTTCTCCAGACCAGGGAACTTAATCCAGACCTGGGAACCTCCCCCAGACCTGGGAATCTACTCCCAACCTGAGAATTTCCTCCAGACCTGGGACGTTGTAATAACCTGGGCTTAAACACCTGGGTCCTCTCACCTGGCCTGTACTATCCAAGGAAAAACAGGCCAGGAATTTAAAATCCTGACAGGATAGGAACAGATTGTCTGACCACACCCAGGGCCTCCCTCCTGGCCTCTAATATCCAAGGAAAAACAGGCTAGGAATTTAAAATCCCCCCAGGATCGAAGCCACGTGTCTCACCTGGGCCCTGCTGGCCTGCGGGGACACCAAGGGGACAAGGCAAATGGCCCTGATGGGACAAGTTCTTGGGATAAGCTCAGCAAAGCTAAGCAAGGTGTTGGGTGAGGAATTAGATCCTTTGGAGTTCGGAAAATCCCCCTTGAGCCAGATTTTGGTCTCGGTGGGTGGTGGCCGCAGGGCCCAGGTGTGAATGGGAGGCCCTGGAGCTCCCTGTCCCCCCAGAGAGGCTCCTGGGCTCTCCTGGAAGGCCTGGGAGCCTCAGGAACACCGTGGAGGTGAGGAATTCCACAGATACCTGCCCCGAGCGCGTCTCCACGCCCCGCGCTCCATTCCGTGTCCGTGCTCTCTCCCGGCTCCAGGCCTGCGTCCCTTCATCCCAGAGAAGGACAGCCAGCACTTCGAGAACTTCCTGGAGACCATCGGGGTGAAGGATGGGCGCGGGATCATCACGGACAGCTTCGGGCGCTACCGCCGCTCCCTCGGCGCCGCCTCCGCCTCCAACGGCACCGGCGCCGCCGGCAGCTCCGACGAGCAGTCCGTGCCCTCCGAGGAGGACGAGTGGGACAGGATGATCTCCCACATCAGCAGCGACATCGAGGCGCTGGGCTGCAGCCTGGACAGGGACTCGTCCTGAGGGACCGGGGCTGGACACGGGGGGGTGGGACACAGAGCTGCTCCCAGGGGCAACACGGAGCTGCCCTTGGAGGGACACCGGGACACAGAGCTGCCCCCGGGGGATCCCAGAGCTGCCCTTGGAGGGACACCGGGACACAGAGCTGCCCCCGGGGGATCCCAGAGCTGCCCTTGGAGGGACACCGGGACACAGAGCTGCTCCCGAGGGAACACAGAGGTGCCTTTGGAGGGGACACGGAACAAGGACTTGCCCCTGGGGGGAACATGGAGCTGCCCTTGGACGGACACCAGGACATGGAGCTGCCCATGGGGACCCCCTAGTAGCCCTCGGAGGGACCCAAGAACACCAACCTGTGCCCTCCGGGGGGAGCAGAGCTTCCCTTGGAGAGTCCTGGAACGTGGATCCTTCTCCTGCAGGATTTGGGGGCTCCAGCAGGATGGAATCACTCTCCTGGCCTCCTTAACAGCTCCAGGGGCAGGAATGGCTCCAGCGTGGATTTGGGGGACAGCTGGATTTGGGGTGTGGATTTTTGGGGACAGATCTCTTTCTGAGCATCGAGGTCTCCTTCCAAGGGGATGGATCTCCCCAGAGGATGGATCTGCTCCTGAGCATCCAGTTCTCTTCCTGAGGGGCCAGACCCGCTCCCTCCGCAGTTTACAGTTTGCACAGCAGGTCCCCCATAACTGCCCTCCACCCCCACAATGAAGTTTTGCCACAATGTGAATCATTTCACCCTCTCGTCCCTGGTGTCAGAACATTCTGGCTCCCCCAGCATGGGATTTCCCACCATCACCCCTGCCCATCCCCAGGGCCCTGGTGGGGGCAGGAGCTCAGGGGGAGCTGTTAGGGCACCCCAGGACTGGGAAAACCCTCAGAGTTCCCACTTAATCCCCCAGCCACACCAGAGGGGTGCTGCCCCCCCAAGAGTACCCAGGAATGGGCCCCCCACCCAGAGGCAGACGCTGACTCAGCAGTTTGGGGGATCTGCGCCTCCAGCACATTCCAGCGGCTTCAGCCCCAAATCCCGCACAGTGCCTTTAACCCTTTGGCACCCAGTGCCCTCCAGCTCACTAGCACCCTCACCTGCTGTCCCCAGTTCACCAGCACCCTTACCTGCTGTGTCCCCAGCTCACCAGCACCCTTACCTGCTGTGTCCCCAGCTCACCAGCACCCTTACCTGCTGTGTCCCCAGCTCACCAGCACCCTTACCTGCTGTGTCCCCAGCTCACCAGCACCCTTACCTGCTGTGTCCCCAGCTCACCAGCACCCTTACCTGCTGTGTCCCCAGTTCACCAGCACCCTTACCTGCTGTCCCCAGTTCACCAGCACCCTTACCTGGTGTGTTTCCAGCTCACCAGCACCCTCACTGCTGTGTGTCCCTCACTTCACCATTGCCTTTACTGGTGTCTTTCCCCCTCACCCTTAACTGGTGACCCCCACTCCCTTCTCCTGGGGGTCCCCAGCCCCTCCTCCTCCTGGAATTTAGGGGTGCTGGAAGCTGAGTGATCCCAGGGACTCACCTGGGAGGGCACAGAGGGGGCCCCTCCCACAGCTCTCCCTATTCTGAGGCTGAGAAACTGGGGGCAGGAAGGGGGGGACAAAGCAGGGGGACTCCAGGTCCCTGGGATTTGGGGAGCAGGAATTCCTTCCCTGAGAGCTGGGAGAGTTTCCTTCCCATCATTAAACCCTTTGGGAAATTAGGAATTTCAGGAAAACCCCTATTTTTGACAGGATCCAGAGAGCTCCAAACAGCTCACGGGGGAGTGGGGGATGTTTCTGTATTTCCATGGGAAATGGCATTAAATTCTGGGAATACCCCAGAGCTGCAGTGTCCTGGCAGGTCTCTGCCCTGCTCCCAACTGACCCCCTAAATCTGGGGGGGGAAGGGTTAAACCCTGACCCCCAGTTATGTTGGGAACACCCTGGGGCACTGCCATCCTCCACCCCTAGCACCAAGAGAACCCCAAAAGCTGCCCAGCCCGCTGTCCCTCCCCGTCCCAGTCACAACCTCCTGTGCTGCCCCCCAACCCCACTGCTGGAAAAGGGACTCCCCAGGCCCCCCAAAATCATCACAGGGGGGCCAGGTGCGATCCAAGGAGTGCAGGAGGCCTTTATTGAGCGGTCCAGGGGAGGAGGAGGGGCTGGGGGGCAGAGGAAGGATTTGGGGGGTCTCTGTGCATCTCTACAGGGGGGCCGGGCCAGCCCCGGCGCTACATGGTCAGCTCCTGCGGGAGAGACAGCGAGTCAGGGACCCCCGGGGGGCACTCCCAGCCCCACCCCCAGCAGGGAGGGGGTCCCAGCCCAGCCCCACTCACCATGATGGCGTTGACGATGTCGTTGTTGTTGTGCCGCAGGGCCCGCACGGCTTTGGGGCGGGACACGTTGGCCTGGGCCATCACCAGCTCGATGTCCCGCACCTCCAGCCCCGTCTCGTCCACCTGGGCGGGGTACGGCGCTGTCACCCTCCAAAGGCACCCGCCCAGTGCTTCAGGGGTCCCCCAGCACCCACCCTGGGAGCCCCTCTGTGTCCCCCCCCAGGGTGCATCACATCGACCTGGGCCATCCCCAGTCCCGTATCCTGCACCTCCAGCCCCTCCCTGTCCCCATGGGGGGCCACAATGCCTGTCATTCCCCCATAGTGACCCCACAGGACCTTGGGGGTCCTTCAGCAAACCCCAGGGACCCCCCCCCTTCATGCCCCCTCCCAGGGTACGAGACCGTAACCTGAGCCACCCCAGCTCCATGTCCTGCCCCTCCAGCCCTATCCCATCCACCTGGGGGAGGAACAGCTTCATTACCCCCCCATAACACCCCCAGGGGTCCCCGAGCCCCCCCAGCACCCACCTCCTCCTCCTCCTCGCTCTCCTCCTTGATGGCGAGGGCGGGGGCGGCGTCCGTGACCAGGGCTGAGTGTTCCAGCGGCACCTTGAACTTCTCTGCCGCCGCTTTGTGCACTTGCTGGGACAGGTCCTCGATCTGGGGGGGCACGGGCGGTCACTGCCGGCCCCCCCGAGCAGGGACAGCCTCCCCCCCGGGCAGGGACAGCCTCCCCCCGGCCCCCCAGCCCACCTTGGCTTCCCCGAAGACGATGTAGATGTCGGAGGCGGGGCTCTTGAACACGTCGGGCTTGGAGATGACGAACAGGATGTTCTTGGACTTGCGGATGGTGATGCGGGTGACGCCGTGGATCTGCCGCAGCCCCAGCTTGGACATGGCCTGGGGGCACGGGGGGGCACAGGGTGACCCCCTGCACAGCAGCCTAGGGGGGCTCCAGTCCCCTCAGTGGCACCCCAAATCCCCGGGACAACGGGGAACCCGGGGATGGAGGACATGGCCAGGATGGGACCCCCAACACAGGGTGGGGACCCCCAGACACTCCCCAGTGTGGCCTGGAGAACCCCCGGGAGTGGGGACTTGAACCCCAACATCCCAGAACTAACCCCCCCCCCAAACCTGTGGTGAAATAATGACCCCCAACCCCATGGGTGACCCCAGCCCCACCCCAGAGTGGGACCCCCAGAGTGGGGACCTGATCCCCAACACCCAGAAACAACCCCCCTGCCCAAATGCTGGGATGGTGATCCCAACCCTACAGGGGAGCCCCACAGCCCACAGTGAGTCCCCCAGTTCCCTGTGGGACCCCCCACCTTCCGGGCCTTCTTCTCGCTCCGGCTCTGCTTGGCCTTGCTCAGCGGCTCGTCCCCGGGGCCCAGCGCGTGGCCCAGGGGCACCTGCAGAGAGAGGGGGTCAGGGGGGCCCCCAGCACCCCCGGGGGGGGCCCCACCAACCCCAAGCCCCAAAGCCCCACCTGGGGCTGGGCGGGGGGCAGCTCTGAGCCCTCGGGCTCCTCCAGCTCCGGGATGGACTCGTCGTTGCTCTCGGATTCGTTCCCGGACCCTGGGGATGAAGGGGGGAGGTGAGAGGGGGCCCCGAGACCCCCCGACCCCGGGGGTACCCAGGGCCCCCCCCTCACCTCGGTGGTTGGGCTGGCAGCGCTGGGGGGCCGGGGGGGCCGGCTCGGCCCGGGGGGTCTCAGCCTCGCTGGACGAGCTCGACTCCGACTGCAGAGACCCCCGGGGGGGCCCCCGGCCCCCTCCAGCCCCCGGCCCCACCGCTCGGCCCCGGGGCTCCGGCTCCTTCTGCAGGGGGGGCTGGGGGGCTGCAGGGGGATGGAGGTTGAGCCAAGGGGTCCCCAGAACTCCTTTGGGGGTCAACCCCCCTGCTCATCCCCATCACCCACCCCGGGACCACCCCGAAGGCACCTCCACACCTCGGGTGTACCCTTGGTGCCAAGAAGTACCCCTGGGGGGGGCAGATAATTCAAAACCTCCCATGGGGATGGACACCCCCCCCGTTTACCCCCATCACCCACCCCGGGACAACGTCCTCCCTCCCCCCTAAAGGCACTCCCAGCCCCCCCGGGTGCCCACCCTGACCCCACACAATCCCTTATGGCAGTGGGAGGGGGGGCTGAGCTGGGGAGCCCCCCAAACCCCTCCATAGGCCTGAACCCCCAGAGACCCTCCCCAGCCCTCCCACAGGTGATGCCCACCCTGGACCCACAGCCACGGAGGAACCTGCAAGGGGGTAGGGGTCTCTTACCTTCGAGATGCTTCCTGGAGGGGGGCAGCCCTGGGGGGGGCTCCTGGCAGGGGAGAGGCCCGGGGGGGCCCGGGGCCAGCAGGGACACGGTGGCGGGAGGAGGCACTTGGCTGAGTTTGGGGGGCACAGGGCGGGGGGGCTCGAGGGCAGTCGGCTCCTGGAGGGGGACCTGCTGAGCCCCCACAGCGGGCAGGGGGCTGGAGGAGACCCCTCCCACCACCTCCTCTTCCTGATGCTGCTCAGGGGGAGCTGGGGGGGATCTTGGGCGGCTGGGGGGGCTCGGGGGGCCACCCTCACCCGGGACTTTGGCATCGGTGCCCCCCTCAGTGGGGCCGGGGGGCTCAGGGCCCGGCCGGGGGGTGGGGGGCTCCTGCAGGGGCGGGGGCAGGTCCCCGAGGGCCCCCCGGGGCAGGGCAGAGACCCCCGGGCCAGCCCCGTGCCCTGAAAAGGCACCGGGTGGTGGGAGCAGTTCGGGGGGGGCCCCCACAAACACCTCCCGCTCCGAGGCCGTGAACAGCGGCGGGGGGGCCGCAGGGGCGGGACCCTCATCCTCCTCATCATCCTTCTCCTCCTCTTCCTCCTCCTCTGACGGCTCCCTGGGGGCGCAGGGGGGTTCAGGGGGTCCCGGGGGGGCCTCCCTGGCGCTGTCAAAGCTGGAGGCGGTGCAGGAGCGAGACACGTCCAGTGGCTGCGGGGACGAGCCCTCGGACAAGGCGGTGGCCACGTCCCCCCCCACCTCGGGGGGCTCGGGGACCTCCCTGGGGGGCTGTGACGGTGACCCCTGTGACAGGGGACACGGGAGGGCAGCTGGGGGCTCGTGGGACGGGGCCACCTCAGCTGTCAGCACCACGGGGGACACGGGCTGGGGGCTCGGGGTCACGGGGGCAGTGCCCGTGGTGGTCATCGGGCTGGGGGTCACCGGGTCAGTGGCCGTGTCATCCAGCAGGGTTGGTGTCACCGGTGTCACTGGCTCGGTGTCCCTGGTGTCCATCAGGCTGCAGGTCACTGGTGTCACTGGGGCAGTGGCTGCAGCGTCCATCTGATCCAGCGGGGTTGGTGTCACCGGGTCGGTGGCCACAGTGTCCATCAGGGTGGGTGTCACTGATGTCACCACATCAGTGACCACAGCATCCTTCAGGGTGGGCGTCACCAAGACAGCGTCCACAGTGTCCACCTTGTCCAGCAGGCTGGGGGTCACTGGTGTCACCAGGTCAGTGGCCACGGTGTCCAGTGGGGTTGGTGTCATCAAGGTGGTGGGCACTGTGTTCAGCTCAGCTGGGGGGCTCGCTGTCACCAGGTCAGTGTCCGCAGCGTCCATCTTGTCCGGTGGTGTTGGTGTCACCGGTGTCACCAGGTTGGTGGCCGTGCTGTCCATCAGGCCGGGTGTCACTGGTGTCACCGCTGGAGTGCCTGCAGTGTCCGGCTCATCCAGTGGGGTTGGTGTCACCATGTCAGTGGCTGCAGTGTCCAGCTCATCCGAGGGGCTGGGTGTCACCGGTGTCACCGTGTCAGTGGCTGCAGTGTCCAGCTCATCCGAGGGGCTGGGTGTCACCGGTGTCCCCAGGTCAGTGGCTGCAGTGTCTGGCAGGCTGGGTGTCTCTGGGCTGATGGCTGTGCTGTCCATCAGGCTGGGTGTCACCAGTGTCCCCAGATCAGTGTCCGGCTCATCCAGAGGGGTTGGTGTCCCCAGGTCAGTGGCCACAGTGTCCAGCTCACCAGGCGGGCTGGATGTCACCAGGCTGGTGACCACAGTGTCCATCTCATCCAGGGGGATGGGTGCCACAGGTGTCACCAGGTCATTGTCCATGGCGTCCATCGGGCTGGGGGTCACTGGTGTCTCCAGGTCAGTGTCCAGCCCAGGCGCCCCTGATATCCCCAGGTCAAGCTCTGCAGTGTCCATCGGGCCAGGTGTCCCCGGTGTCACCTCCTCGGTGGCTGCAGTGTCCATCGGGCCAGGTGTCCCCAGTGTCACCTCCTCGGTGGCCGCAGTGTCATCCAGAGGGGTTGGTGTCACTGATGTCCCCAGGCCGGTGGCCTCAGCGTACAGCTCTCCGTGGCCATCGGTGCTCCCTGCTCTCCCCATGCCGAGCTCAAGGTCACTGTCACCGTCGTTGTCACCCCCAGGGCTGTCCTGGGGCTCCCCGTTGGCCCCCCCCAGCCAGTGGCTCTGGGGGTCCCTGGTGCAGAGCCCGGGGGGCTGGAGAACACCGACTGTCACTGCTGGCTCTGGGCAAGGTCCTTGTCCCAGCGCTGCCACTCCAGAACTTTCTGTCACCTCCTCGGGGGGCTCCAGGGGTGGCCACCCCTCCACCACGGGGACAAAGGCGTGGCCGTCCAGCTCCGTGTCCCCTTCGGGCGGTCCTGGGAGGGTCCCCACGGACCCGGGGCCCATCCCCTCTCCAGGGGAGTGACACGGGGACCCAGCGTGAAGGTGGAGCTCGACACCAGAGGTGGCCGTGGGAGCGGTGGGGGTGCCGGGGGGCGTGCCCGGGGGGGTGGCCGTGCCCCCCGCGTGGCGCTCGGTGCCGTAGAGCCGCTCATCCTCGTCCCCGTCGTAGGCGGCCGAGTCGGACGAGGCGTCGGTGTCGTCGCGGAAGGCGAAGGCCTCGTCCCCCCCCTCGGGGATGGAGCTCTCGGACAGCGAGCGCAGGAACGAGGCCGAGGTGCTGCCTTCGTCCTCCTCCTCCTCCTCCTCCTGCCCGTCCCGGGGCGGGGCCCGCGGGGAGATCTCCACGGCCTCGGCCTGGAACAGGAGGCTGCCCCGGAACGGCAGCAGCGCCGCCGGGATCAGCCCCGACACCTCATCTTCATCCTCTTCATCCTCCTCTGGTGTCTGCCCATCCTCGTCATCCTCATCATCCTCGCAGCCCGGGGGGGCAAAGGAACCCTCATCCTCCTCATCCTCCTCCTCGGGGGACAGCGGGGGGAAGGCCGGGGGGTCCCCCAGGCCGGGGGGCAGCAGCAGGGCCCCCCCCAGGCCGTCGGGGTCCCCCTCGGGGTCCCCCAGACCTTCGGCCTCGGCCGCCAGGTTGGGGGAGCAGGAGGGGGAGGTGCTGGCGGTGCCCGAGGACCCCCAGCTGCCGCCCTCGGCCGTCATGTAGGAGCCCGAGGGGGAGGTGGGGGGCGAGCACAGCCCCTCGCTGTCCCCGTCCGTGGGTTCCTCGGGGGGGGGCCGGGACCCCCCCGCCCGCACCGGCGTCGAGGGGGCCGTGAAGAACAGCTCGGGGTCCAGCGCGGGGGGGCGGCCCTGGGGGGGCTCTTTGGGGGGCGCGGGGAAGGGGCAAGGCACTGGGGGGCCCCCTCGGGGCTCGGGGGGCGGGCAGCGGGTCTCCTCCCCCATGACGATGCGGGTGTCCAGGGGGTCCGCGGGCGGGGGGGGCCGGCAGGGAGAGCCGGGGGGGGCGGCGGCGGGGGGGCCGGGGTCGCAGCTGGCCCCCTCGGGGGGGGGACGGGCCTCCTCCTTGGCCGGCATCGGCGGGGGGGCTGCGGAGAGAGGGGACAGCCCTCAGTGCCACGGACCCCCCCCAGTCACCACGGGGAGGGGAGACCCCCCCCTCAGTGCCACGGACCCCCAGGGGCAGTACGGGATTGGGGGGGAGGGGTCACCCAGGGTACTGCCTGGGGGGGGTTGCTATCACCCCTCCCTCAGCCGGGGGGTGACTCCCACCCAAAGCAGCTGTTGGGGGGGGGGGCAGGGTTTGGGACACCAGCAGCTCCCCCTCCTCAAACCCCTGAGTGGGGGCAATGAGGCTGCAGCTGCATCAAGGGGACCCCCCCCCTTACAGCCCCCTCCCCAGAGAGTCTGTGAGTTGAGGGGTGCTCAGCCCCCCACTGCACACTCGAGAGAGGGTGCAGCCTCTTCTCCCTCCCCAAAACCAGCTTGTGGGACCCCACCCACGTTACCTGGACCCCTTTCCACGTTACTTGGGACCCCCCCCAATTAACTGTGACCCCTCCCCCGTTACCTGAACCCCCTCATCCATAGTACCTGGGCCCCCCAGGGGTGGATCCATACGGAGGGAGCAATTGGACCCCACGGGACGCCCCAAACCTGCAGCACTGTTCCCCCCCGCAGCCCCCGGGGTTATATAGGGGAGGGGGCGGGGCGGCGCGGGGCGTGCCGGGAGGGGGCGGGGCCTGGCGGGGGTGTTTGCGGGGCAGGTGCCGCTGTCCCCCCCCCACTCTGAGATGGTTCAGTCCAAGCCCCCCCTTCTCCCCCCTCCACGTGCTGCAGGAACTCAGGTTCATGGGGGTTGGGGGGAGGTCACCCCGCCAAGGGGGTCCTGTACTCCCCTCGCACACCCCGAGTCATTTTGGGGGGTGATTCTGACCTATAATGGGGGGGCTGCTGAGGCCCCCTTAACGCAGCCCTTCCTTCACCCTTGCCTGGCCCGGACACGCCCACAGTTTGGGGGCATGTTTTGGGGGTCCCCTTTGTACCCCCTGGAGGGGATGCTCTAATTCCACACTCCCCCCCCCCGCACAAACCGGACCCTCATCCCATTTTGGGGTCCCCCTCGACTCAGCTCCTGAGAACCGGGGGAGGTGACACCGGGCTCTGTCCCTTCGATTCCCCCGGCAGGTGACAGTGGCCCCCGGGGACACCGGTACGAGGTGACCTTGGGCTGTGCCTCAGTTTCCCCACCAGGTGGTCCCGAGGGTGGGACGGTACTGGGGGGGGGGATGAGGCTCAGCCGCCCCAGTCCCACCAGCACCACGCAGTACAGGGATGGGGTGGGGGACAACCCTCCGCCGACCCCCGGGGCTCCCGCGGGGTGAAGGAGGGGCAGCCCCCAGGTGGGGTTCCCAAAGTCCCTCCCTGGGGGGCCGTGCCGGAGCCCCCCGGCCGTGCCGGGCCCGGAGCCCCGGGCGGTGGCGGCTGCCTAGAGCCGGGCCCGCGTCCTGCAGCGCTCCCGCTCCATCCTCATCCTCCGGCTCCATCATTCCAGCCTGTCCTTCATCCCCCCGCTCCAGCCTCATCCCTCCTGCTCTGTCCTCCATGGCTCCCGCTCCGGCTCCATCGTTCAGCCTCCAGCTCCATCGTTCCCACTCTGTCCCTCATTCCCCCGCTCCACCCTCATCCTCCAGCTCTATCCTTCATCCTCCCGCTCCTTTCCCCTGCTCCATCCTCATCTTCCCACCCCGCACCCTCCCTCCCGCTCCGTCCTTCATCCCACTGCTCCATCCTCATGGCTCCATCCCGCACCTCTCCTCCCCTCCCGCTCCGTCTTTCATCCCTTCAGCCCCATCCTCATGGCTCCGTCTCCATCCTCCCTTCTCCGCCCTTCATCCCACCGGCTCCATCCTCATCCTCCCGCTCCTTCCTTTCCGCTCCGTCCTTCATCCTTCCGGCTCCGTCCTTCATCCCTCCGAGTCATCCTCGTCCCCCCCCC